AAAAATACAAATTTAACTTCTTAATGACTAACACCATATCTAAGTTTGAGGATGTAGGATAAAATGTGTCAGCAGAGGGCGCTCTAGATAAGTTTGTCTATGGGATAAGACCCTTCAAGACTCTCAAAAAGATGGGAAAGTGAGAGCAGGATACCTGCTTTTAGTATACAATAATCCTTTGAACACATGTATTTTTAGCTTGGTCTGTGGGTGATGTTGCATAGCGGTATTTGCAAAATAGAAATGTAACTTTAAGCCAGTCACCATTCAATTTAGAATTCATATAAGATGTTCCACATCTGATGGCACCTCTATAATTGTATGCAACAAACCCACTTGCAGCTAATTACTTGCAATACTGCCTTACCATTGCAGTTTAAAAACAGCATACAATCCAGTGCATATTCAGCACCCTCTGTATCAGTATCATGTAGTAATGTATAGGAACCATGCCTCCATCGTCTTACTTCACTTCGACATCGTGGATTAATTTCTTTCTTTTTTGTCTCTGTAAATACAGTTTTACAAAGTTACATAACACCCACAGTGAAATTGACAAACCTTTCTGCCTTGGTGGACAATGTAATAAAGCTTTCAATAAGTAAATCATCAAATACATCAAGATTTATATAGGTGTTATACATGATAATGTTTGTTAATCTTCTAGTTTCTAGAAATCCTAATGCAAATAAGAGTGAGTTTGTGAAAGATTGGAATGTGCTCATCTCAGGCCATTTCTGATAAAGCAAAGTTTGTAATATGAGTATTTTACATTTTCAAATGTGGCGATAATCTCACTCATTTCAATCAAACATTTCCAAGGTTCCTCTGTGTTTTGTGACTTTATTATTTAGAACTATGAATCACTATTATACTGTATTTTTAAAATTTAATTAACATAATCCAAATTAAAAGTTTTATACAGGAAAAAAAATATGCATTTTTTATTAAAAGATTTACTTCTAAGAGACAATATAATGTTTTAATGGAGAATCATGCAACACTACCTAAAGATTGGATTTTATACCTTCCTTTGCCTTTACACTTTCTGAGTCATCTCCTCTCATATCATCTTCACTATCACTGTCTGGTGCTAATTCATGTAGTCGTAGACCAGTGAAATTAGACAATAATAAAAACATTTCTTCTGATTTCAATACTTCTATACATTCCTTTAAGATTCCTGGAAGACTCGTGTCACTTGCCATTTCATAGTTTCTATGGTAACAGAAGACAAACATAAAAAATTACCTTTTAAATATCTTTTTATTGGCCCAAAGCAAAGCAAAGCAAAGCATCTCAGTCGCATATCTTTATTTATTCTTGAGGTGGTTAGCCACATGCACCATTAAAACACATGAATAGATTTCATTCTCTTTAAAAATATGGACTAATTGTAAATTATTTTTACAGAACTACTTTTTACACATGGTTCAAATATTCATGGATATGATGATGTTCCAGCCATTTACTGTTGGTTTATATAATAAAAGTCTCATCAAAATTTCATTTGTTTACAAATGGTGAACTTATGGGTGCCATAACTGAGTAGAAAATTGTAATGGACGATATCTATTTTTTTATAAAATTAATTCTTTAACATGGATTCCGATGGAAATGTTAATTTTGTAATTATTTCTAAAAAATTACTGGGTAAAACATCTAAATGCTAGATGAGTTCAAATTAATAATTAGGAAAAACTTTTGAAACACTCCAATGAGAAGAGATATTTATCCCTGTTATCTTATACTTCTGTTTCCATTTTACTGTGAAATACTTTATTTTCGCTTGGAATTAATTTTCGTTATTTTTCGCTGAAGGAATGATTTAGTGAAAATAAAATCCAGCGAATATACCTTTTTCCTATATTTTACATTCAAACTCATCAACAATCAGTGAAAATAAATTCCATACAACAACCAAAACGTCTTTTCAGCGAAAATTAATTCCAGCTAAAATAAAGTATTTTACAGTATATCAGTAAAGCACAAACATACTATGTAATGTACCTCTTATTTGCTGGGCCTTTTCTTACCCATTTTATTGCACTTTCTTTTACTGCAGATAAGACTGCTTCATATTTCTCCTCCTAATACAAGAATATTCAACACATAATTAATTATGATGATGTTTTATAATAACAAATATAGAATCATCAGCTTTGTGTTCAACTATATGATCTGTGTTGATGCCAGGCATGGACGTGAAACAAATTGTACTACACAATTTTGAGAAAAAAATCGATAAAATGTTTTAGTTCTAGCAATCTCCCAAAATATGACCCAATATCCAAAATATTAGCTATGGTGATCTTTAAGATAAATACGATAAAATCACATGTCAAATTAATACAACAATTAATTAATTATTCACTGGGTTTTGTATGCTGAAGTAGAAAACTGTACCTTGAGAAAATTTTGAAGTTCAATCTCAGAATCTTCTGAGAACTTTTCTTGTATCTGAGATTGTATAAGCATATCTATGTACATTGGATTCAACCAGTCACCTAGTTTGTCATTCTGTGAACCAAAATATATAAAACTAGCCTTGAGGTTACAAGTGATGAGTACTGTTTGTGGCTACATTTACTGATCATAGCTTTGTTGAGTGCAAAATAGCAACACACATGACGTTAGAAATCAGTCACATGATTCTATTCCACATTGGATTTACAGTGTGCTGCGTCCGACTTAAACAAAAGAAAGCGTTTGTATGTGACATAAATATAATGGACATTTTAAAAAAAGGAAGACATTCGAACGCATCTGTAACACTTTATACAGTGTTTAACAAACAATGAATTCTATTGTTTCCAAAGTCAAATGTATAATACTGTAAAATACTTTATTTTAGCTGGAATTAATTTTCGCTGAAAAGACTTTTTGGGTGGTTAGTAGAGACAAGTTGTAAAATATAGGAGAAAAGGTATATTCACAGGATTTTATATTCACTGAATCATTCCTTCAGTGAAAATTAATTTCAAGCAAAAAAATAAAGTATTTTACAGTAATATCAAGTATTACCTGAAACGTTACTGCAGGTTGTAATACATGTAATGGTTCTATAAACGGTGCTGGTCTGTCAATTGGAGGACCATGAAACCATCCACTTACAGATAACCTGGTTTTATCTTGTGTTAAGACTTCAGAAACCTACCACGCAAGACAAAACATTACAAGTATAATAAAACAAGCAGCCTCTTGGCTGAGATAGCTCCGCTGTGAACAATGTAAATTTCAATTAAGGAACTGAAGATATCATCACGAAATGAACAAATCTGAGAAAAGTATACCTGTAGTACCTATATGTATAATATCAAAGCAATGAGACTTGCGGTTTTCAACAAGAAGTCAAAAATCTTCACCAAAAATTACAAAGATATCACCACAAAATGAACAAATGAACCAAGTATCAAAGCAATAAAGCTTGTAGTTTTTTAGATAAAGACACTTGAAGATAATTTTCATTGAATAATAACAGAAAAGGATTCTACAACTAGTATTTTAG